AAGTTTTTTGTCCAATTATTAGAATCTCTGTTTTTTCAGAATTTAGTAGTAGGAAATTACTAGTCATCCAATTTTTATATCAGCTATGCATTCCGTTAATTTTGTGAATTGGTAAGTTTCGTCGGGGCGTGAAGAAATATACAGCTGAGTATCATCGGCATAACAGTGAAAGCTAACTCCATGTTTCCTAATGATATCTCCTAATGGTAGCATGTACAGAGTGAACAGCAGCGGTCCTAGTACTGAGCCTTGTGGTACGCCATACTGAACTTGTGATCGATAAGACATCTCTTCATTTACTGCTACAAACTGATAACGGTCAGATAAGTATGATTTAAACCATGCTAATGCAATTCCACTAATGCCAACATAGTTTTCTAGTCTATTTAAAAGAATGTTGTGGTCAATTGTGTCAAATGCAGCACTAAGATCAAGTAACACTAATAGAGAGATACAACCACGATCAGATGATAAGAGCAAATCATTTGTGACTCTGATGAGAGCTGTCTCGGTACTATGGTACGGGCTAAATCCGGACTGAAAATCCTTGCAGATATCATTTCTTTCTAGAAAGGAACACAGTTGTGAGGATACTGCTTTTTCCAGTATCTTTGACAGAAAAGGTAGATTCGAGATCGGCCTGTAATTGACTTATTTTGCATGATCAAGTTGCGTTTTTTTAACAAGCGGTTTTATCATAGCCAGCTTAAAGGTTTTTGGTACATATCCTAGAGACAAAGACGAATTAATGACATTAAGAAGAGGATCTATGACATCTGGAAGCATCTCTTTCAGTAGCTTAGTCGGAATAGGGTCTAACATACAAGTTGTTGATTTAGATGATTTAACGAGTTTGCAAAATTCTTCCTCTCCTATAGCAACAAATAAACCAAATTTTTCCTCAGGGAGACTACAATGCACTGCCTGGTGCGATACTGTGGTAGACGGTTGCATAGTTATAATTTTATCCCTGATATTATCAATCTTATAAGTGAAGAAATTCATAAAGTCATTACTGCTGTGTTGCTTGGACCCTTCTGGGCTTGAAGCTTTCTTTTTCGTTAGTTTAGCCACTGGGATTATGTTTATTTTCTTCTAATAGGGTTGAAAAATAAGCAGATCTAGCAGCTTTTAAGGCCTCTCTGTAAGCAATCGAGCTCTCCTTCCATGAAATCCGAAATACCTCTAGTTTAGTTTTCTTCCAGCTACGCTCCATTTTTCTGGCTGCTCTCTTAAGGCCCCGGGTGTGCTCGCTGTACCACGGCGTTGGACTATTTTCTTTAACCCTATAACTAGCTCAGCAATTTGACAGAAGTGCAGGGCCTCGTGGCGCAACGGTAGCGTGTCTGACTCCAGATCAGAAGGTTGCGTGTTTAAATCACGTCGGGGTCAATCGTTCTCTAATTTGAGCTCAAGTCTTTAATACAATTCAGGAATCCTTGTTGCTAGACCCTATGACTAGCTCAGCAATTTGGCAGAAGTGCAGGGCCTAGTGGCGCAATGGTAGCACGTCTGACTCCAGATCAGAAGGTTGCGTGTTCAAATAAAGCGTGCCGCACAAGCCCTGAAAAATGAATGCAAAACGTCTCTATCGCCCCCCTGTTGCCGGTCCTAGTATAGGTCATAAACCCCGCCTCCCCATGTTATTCAACGACACATGAGACAAACTAAACAATTAAATTACACTTCAACTATTGTTTTTCCAAACATGGTTTCTGTCATTTACTGTAGATTTTATCACGCTGATGTAATTTCAAGTGTTTATTTTTGAAATAAGTTTGTTTTTAGTTAGTTATTTGATGCGGTGGTGGTGACGTCATGATTGACAGCTGTGATTGACTGGTTCTCTGAGCGAAGTAGTCACTGAAGCACCAACAGACTTTTTTTCGGGATCTTCGGAGAACTGAGGAGATTGGAGCTTTCAATTTAATATCTAAATATCTATAATTAATTAAAAAAAAAAGGTGCAGGAGAGTGTTCTTGCGATTGATTCGGGGGCTTGATTTCTGGTGTGAGAAATCATTATTTCCAGCGCGTCTGACTCCACATCAGAAGGTTGCGTGTTCAAATCACGTCAGGGTCCATCAACCTCTTCTTTGAGCTCAAGGCTTTAATAAAATTCAGGAATCCTTGTTGCTAGACCCTATAACGAGCTCAGCAACTTGACTGAAGAGCAGGGCCTCGTGGCGCAACGGTAGCGCGTCTGACTCCAGATCAGAAGGTTGCGTGTTCAAATCACGTCGTGGTCAATCATTCTCTAATTTGAGCTCAAGTCTTTAATAAAATTCAGGAATCCTTGTTGCTAGACCCTAGTCAAGTCACGTCACCTTTTTTTAATATAGCGCTTTTTACAATACAGATTGTATCAAAGCAGCTTCACAGTGATAACATGAAAATAATACAACAAAGTTTGTTTCTAGAAGAAAATTGCATCAACGTCCACCTTAAGTAAGGCAGATCAATAATATTGTTGAATATTAAATGTCCCCAACTAAGCAAGCCAAAAGCCAAGGCAACAGTGGCAAGGAACCAAAACTCCATCAGGGACAGAATGGAGAAAAAAACCTTGGGAGAACCCAGACTCAGTCAGGGGCCAGTTCTCCTCTGGCCAACGAAGGAACAGTGTATGATTCGGGCAGCATTACAAGTCAGATTGGATCGGAACATTTAGAGTATTTATCCATTTCCATCTGGTTGGAAGTCGAACTAATCACGCCGGTATGGAGACGAGTTGTTGAGGATCAGTGTCGATGGCTGTCGTGTCGATGAGGCCTTCACAGGGCTGATGAGGATGGCACTTCAGGATAAGTTGGGATGGGTCCAGACTCAGGTCCACCATAGAGGGTCCCTCGGGATAAACAGAGAGACTAATATTAGCGTAGACGCCATCCTTCTTATGATGTACCAAATACATTAGGATTTACGGGACGTGTTCCCGGTTCCGGCTGATCTAAACTATGCAGCCTAATTTTGAATTAAAGAAGTCTATAGTGTGTTATGTGTATGCTAGGCCAAAGAGATGTGTTTTTAGTCTAGATTTGAACTGACAGAGTGTGTCTGCTTCCCGGACAATGTTAGGAAGATTGTTCCAGAGTTTTGGTGCTGAATAGGAAAAGAATCTACCGCCAGTAGTCGATTTAGATATTCTAGGTATTATCAACTGGCCGGAATTTCGAGAACGCATTAGGCGAGAAGGACTATAATGCGTTAAGAGCTCGCTCAAGTACTGCAGAGCTAAACCATTTAGTGCTTTGTAAGTAATCAGCAATATTTAAAAATATATACGATGTTAAATAGGCAGCCGCAGAGTTGACAGAACCGGGCTAATATGGTCATATTTCCTGGTTCTGGTAAGAACTCGAGCTGCTGCGTTTTGAACTAGCTGTAGTTTGTTTATTAAGCGTGCAGGGCAACCACAGAGTAGAACATTACAATAATCTAGTCTTGATGTCATGAACGCATGAACTAATTGTTCCGCATTTGTCAATGAGAGCATATGGCGTGATTTAGATATATTTTTAAGATGGAAAAATGCGGTTTTACAGATACTAGACACGTGATTTTCAAATGAAAGATTGGTATCAAAGAGCACACCAAAACCGACGACGAAGACTTAACAGAGCAGCCATCAAGTGTTAGACAGTATTCTAGGTTATTATGTGTGGAAGTTTTTTGTCCAATAATTAGAATCTCTGTTTTTTCAGAATTAAGTAGTAGGAAATTACTAGTCATCCAATTTTTTATATCAGCTATGCATTCCGTTAATTTTGTGAATTGGTAAGTTTCGTTGGGTTTTGAAGAAATATACAGCTGAGTATCATCGGCATAACAGTGAAAGCTAACTCCATGTTTCCTAATGATATCTCCTAATGGTAGCATGTACAGAGTGAACAGCAGCGGTCCTAGTACTGAGCCTTGTGGTACACCATACTGAACTTGTGATCGATAAGACATCTCTTCATTTACTGCTACAAACTGATAACGGTCAGATAAGTATGATTTAAACCATGCTAATGCAATTCCACTAATGCCAACATAGTTTTCTAGTCTATTTAAAAGAATGTTGTGGTCAATTGTGTCAAATGCAGCACTAAGATCAAGTAACACTATTAGAGAGATACAACCACGATCAGATGATAAGAGCAAATCATTTGTGACTCTGATGAGAGCTGTCTCGGTACTATGGTACGGTCTAAATCCGGACTGAAAATCCTTGCAGATATCATTTCTTTCTAGAAAGGAACACAGTTGTGAGGATACTGCTTTTTCCAGTATCTTTGACAGAAAAGGTAGATTCGAGATCGGCCTGTAATTGACTTATTTTGCATGATCAAGTTGCGTTTTTTTAACAAGCGGTTTTATCATAGCCAGCTTAAAGGTTTTTGGTACATATCCTAGAGACAAAGACGAATTAATGACATTAAGAAGAGGATCTATGACATCTGGAAGCATCTCTTTCAGTAGCTTAGTCGGAATAGGGTCTAACATACAAGTTGTTGATTTAGATGATTTAACGAGTTTGCAAAATTCTTCCTCTCCTATAGCAACAAATGAACCAAATTTTTCCTCAGGGAGACTACAATGCACTGCCTGGTGCGATACTGTGGTAGACGGTTGCATAGTTATAATTTTATCCCTGATATTATCAATCTTATAAGTGAAGAAATTCATAAAGTCATTACTGCTGTGTTGCTTGGACCCTTCTGGGCTTGAAGCTTTCTTTTTCGTTAGTTTAGCCACTGTTTTAAATAGATACCTAGGATTGTTTATTTTCTTCTAATAGGGTTGAAATATAAGCAGATCTAGCAGCTTTTAAAGCCTCTCTGTAAGCAATCGAGCTCTCCTTCCATGAAATCCGAAATACCTCTAGTTTAGTTTTCTTTTAGCTACGCTCCATTTTTCTGGCTGCTCTCTTAAGGCCCCGGGTGTGCTCGCTGTACCACGGTGTTGGACTATTTTCTTTAACCCTATAACTAGCTCAGCATTTCGACAGAAGTGCAGGTCCTCGTGGCGCAATGGTAGTGCGTCTGACTCCAGATCAGAAGGTTGCGTGTTCAAATCACGTCGGGGTCAATCGTTCTCTAATTTGAGCTCAAATCTTTAATACAATTCAGGAATCCTTGTTGTTAGACCCTATGACTAGCTCAGCAATTTGGCAGAAGTGCAGGTTCTCGTGGCGCAATGGTAGCGCGTCTGACTCCAGATCAGAAGGTTGCGTGTTCAAATAAAGCGTGCCGCACAAGCCCTGAAAAGTGAAGCCAAAACTTCTCTATCGCCCCCCTGTTGCCGGTCCTAGTATAGGTCATAAACCCCGCCTCCCCATGTTATTCAACGACACGTGAGACAAACTAAACAATTAAATTACACTTCAACTATTGTTTTTTCTAAACATGGTTTCTGTCATTTACTGTAGTTTTTTATCACGCTGATGTAATTTCAAGTGTTTGTTTTTTAAATAAGTTTTTTTTGTTTTTAGTTAGTTATTTGATGCGGTGGTGGTGACGTCATGATTGACAGCTGTGATTGACTGGTTCTCTGAGCGAAGCAGTCACTGAAGCACCAACAGACTTTTTTTCGGAATCTTCGGAGAACTTAGGGGATTGGAGCTTTCAATTTAATATCTAAATTTCTATAATTAATTTTTTTAAAAAGGTGCAGGAGCGTGTTCTTGCGATTGATTCAGGGCCTTGATTTCTGGTGTGAGAAATCCTTATTTCCAGCGCGTCTGACTCCAGATCAGTCTATAGTGTGTTATGTGTATGCTAGGCCAAAGAGATGTGTTTTTAGTCTAGATTTGAACTGACAGAGTGTGTCTGCTTCCCGGATAATGTTAGGAAGATTGTTCCAGAGTTTTGGTGCTAAATAGGAAAAGAATCTACCGCCAGCAGTCTTTTGATATTCTAGGTATTATCAACTGGCCGGAATTTCGAGAACGCAATAGGAGGAAGAGTATGAGTATAAGAGGAGGAAGAGTATGAGTGTAAGAGGAGGAAGAGTATGAGTATAAGAGGAGGAAGAGTATGAGTGTAAGAGGAGGAAGAGTATGAGTACAAGAGGAGGAAGAGTATGAGTGTGAGAGGAGGAAGAGTATTTGTGTAAGAGGAGGAAGAGTATGAGTACAAGAGGAGGAAGAGTATGAGTGTGAGAGGAGGAAGAGTATGTGTGTAAGAGGATGAAGAGTATGAGTACAAGAGGAGGAAGAGTATGAGTGTGAGAGGAGGAAGAGTATGTGTGTAAGAGGAGGAAGAGTATGTGTATAAGAGGAGGAAGAGTATGTGTAATTGTGTATAAGAGGAGGAAGAGTATGTGTGTAAGAGGAGGAAGAGTGTGAGTATAAGAGGAGGAAGAGTATGAGTATAAGGAAGGAAGTGTAAGAGGAGGAAGAGTGAGTATAAGAGGAGGATTAGTATGAGTGTAAGAGGAGGAAGAGTATGAGTGTAAGAGGAGGAAGTGTATGAGTATAAGAGGAGGATTAGTATGAGTGTAAGAGGAGGAAGAGTATGAGTGTAAGAGTAGGATGAGTATGAGTATAAGAGGAGGATTAGTATGAGTGTAAGAGGAGGAAGAGTATGTGTGTAAGAGGAGGAAGTGTAAGAGTAGGAAGAGTATGAGTGTAAGAGGAGGAAGAGTATGTGTGTAAGAGGAGGAAGTGTAAGAGGAGGATTAGTATGAGTGTAAGAGTAGGATGAGTATGACTATAAGAGGAGGATTAGTATGAGTGTAAGAGGAGGAAGAGTATGAGTGTAAGAGGAGGATGAGTATGAGTATAAGAGGAGGAAGAGTATGAGTGTAAGAGGAGGAAGAGTATGAGTATAAGAGGAGGATAAGTATGAGTGTAAGAGGAGGAAGAGTATGAGTGTAAGAGGAGGATTAGTATGAGTGTAAGAGGAGGAAGAGTATGAGTGTAAGAGGAGGAAGAGTATGTGTGTAAGAGGAGGATTAGTATGAGTATAAGAGGAGGAAGAGTATGAGTGTAAGAGGAGGAAGAGTATGTGTGTAAGAGGAGGAAGAGTATGTGTGTAAGAGGAGGAAGTGTAAGAGGAGGATTAGTATGAGTGTGAGAGGAGGAAGAGTATGTGTGTAAGAGGAGGAAGTGTAAGAGGAGGATTAGTATGAGTGTAAGAGGAGGAAGAGTATGTGTGTAAGAGGAGGAAGAGTATGAGTGTAAGAGGAGGAAGAGTATGAGTGTAAGAGGAGGAAGAGTATGTGTGTAAGAGGAGGAAGAGTATGTGTGTAAGAGGAGGAAGTGTAAGAGGAGGATTAGTATGAGTGTGAGAGGAGGAAGAGTATGAGTATAAGAGGAGGAAGAGTATGAGTGTGAGAGGAGGATTAGTATGAGTGTAAGAGGAGGAAGAGTATGAGTGTAAGAGGAGGAAGAGTATGAGTGTAAGAGGAGGAAGAGTATGAGTGTAAGAGGAGGAAGAGTATGAGTGTAAGAGGAGGAAGAGTATGAGTGTAAGAGGAGGAAGAGTATGAGTGTAAGAGGAGGAAGTGTAAGAGGAGGATTAGTATGAGTGTGAGAGGAGGAAGAGTATGAGTATAAGAGGAGGAAGAGTATGAGTGTGAGAGGAGGATTAGTATGAGTGTAAGAGGAGGAAGAGTATGAGTGTAAGAGGAGGAAGAGTATGAGTGTAAGAGTAGGAAGAGTATGAGTGTAAGAGGAGGAAGAGTATGAGTGTAAGAGTAGGAAGAGTATGAGTGTAAGAGGAGGAAGAGTATGAGTGTAAGAGGAGGAAGAGTATGAGTGTAAGAGTAGGAAGAGTATGAGTGTAAGAGGAGGAAGAGTATGAGTGTAAGAGGAGGAAGAGTATGAGTGTAAGAGGAGGAAGAGTATGAGTGTAAGAGTAGGAAGAGTATGAGTATAAGAGGAGGAAGAGTATGAGTGTAAGAGGAGGATTAGTATGAGTGTAAGAGGAGGAAGAGTATGAGTGTAAGAGGAGGAAGAGTATGAGTGTAAGAGGAGGAAGAGTATGAGTATAAGAGGAGGATTAGTATGAGTGTAAGAGGAGGAAGAGTATGAGTGTAAGAGGAGGAAGAGTATGAGTGTAAGAGGAGGAAGAGTATGAGTGTAAGAGGAGGAAGAGTATGAGTGTAAGAGGAGGAAGAGTATGAGTGTAAGAGGAGGAAGAGTATGAGTATAAGAGGAGGATTAGTATGAGTGTAAGAGGAGGAAGAGGATGAGTGTAAGAGGAGGAAGAGTATGAGTGTAAGAGGAGGAAGAGTATGAGTATAAGAGGAGGAAGAGTATGAGTGTAAGAGGAGGATTAGTATGAGTGTAAGAGGAGGAAGAGTATGAGTGTAAGAGGAGGAAGAGTATGAGTATAAGAGGAGGATTAGTATGAGTGTAAGAGGAGGATTAGTATGAGTGTAAGAGGAGGACGAGTATGAGTGTAAGAGGAGGAAGAGTATGAGTGTAAGAGGAGGATTAGTATGAGTGTAAGAGGAGGAAGAGTATGAGTATAAGAGGAGGAAGAGTATGAGTGTAAGAGGAGGAAGAGTATGAGTATAAGAGGAGGAAGAGTATGAGTATAAGAGGAGGAAGAGTATGAGTATAAGAGGAGGAAGAGTATGAGTATAAGAGGAGGAAGAGTATGAGTGTAAGAGGAGGAAGAGTATGAGTGTAAGAGGAGGAAGAGTATGAGTGTAAGAGGAGGAAGAGTATGATTGTAAGAGGAGGAAGAGTATGAGTGTAAGAGGAGGAAGAGTATGAGTATAAGAGGAGGAAGAGTATGAGTATAAGAGGAGGAAGAGTATGAGTATAAGAGGAGGAAGAGTATGAGTATAAGAGGAGGAAGAGTATGAGTGTAAGAGGAGGAAGAGTATGAGTGTAAGAGGAGGAAGAGTATGAGTGTAAGAGGAGGAAGAGTATGAGTGTAAGAGGAGGAAGAGTATGAGTGTAAGAGGAGGAAGGGTATGTGTTTTTACAGTTATGTCCCAGATGTAAAGTTGTCTAGGTTAAGGGAGTAAACAGTGAGAAGAAAAGAAAATGAAGTGCCTGAGCCCGTTCCCAGCCCTGTACGACAGACACATAAAATTTGCTGCTCAAATTTATTAACAGAATATATATATAAGAAGAACCAAGCAAGCAGGGGGTAAAGTCAAAATAACAAACACAAGTACCCTCTGACTAGTTGGGGAGTAAAACTTCTTAATCTGCCAAAGGAAACAAATAAACAACAGAAGGTTACACTAACTCCCTAACTAGCCAAAAACAGGAGAAAAGGTATTACAAAAATAAAAATAGGCACCCACCTCCCTACAGCTTCCAGACCGTTTGGTATTCAAGAATACAGTCACAACAATAAACACAAAGAAAAAGTGGTAGTAGGCTACAATAAGCCTTAGCTTGGTGAACAATAAGAACAGTCTTAATGTTTTACAACACAACAGCAAGTAAACCAACAAGTGATGGATAGTCATCTCTCTCTCTCTTCCCCACCTGGTAGAGCTGCAGAGTTACAGAGAGAGGAAAAAAAGAGAGAGAGAAAACAAACACAAAATCCCAGCACTGCCATAACACAACCACGGAACAGTAAGAGGAGGGAGATTATGAGTATAAGAGGAGGAAGAGTATGTGTATAAGAGGAGGAAGAGTATGAGTATAAGAGGAAGAGTATGTGTGTAAGAGGAAGAAGAGTATGAGTATAAGAGGAGGAAGAGTATGAGTGTAAGAGGAGGAAGAGCATGTGTGTAACAGGAGGAACAGTATGAGTATAAGAGGAGGAAGAGTATGAGCATAAGAGGAGGAAGAGTATGAGTGTAAGATGAGGAAGAGTATGAGTGTAAGAGGAGGAAGAGTTTGAGAGGTGGTGAACGAGGAGGAAGAGGAGGAAGAGCAGGTGTGGAGGATGAGGAGGAAGATCAGGTGTGGAGGATGAGGAAGAGGAGGAAGAGCAGGTGTGGAGGATGAGGAGGAAGATCAGGTTTGGAGGATGAGGAAGAGGAGGAAGAGCAGGTGTGGAGGATGAGGAGGAAGAGCAGGTGTGGAGGATGAGGAGGAAGATCAGGTGTGGAGGATGAGGAAGAGGAGGAAGAGCAGGTGTGGAGGATGAGGAGGAAGATCAGGTGTGGAG